TGCAGGCACGGCGAAACCCAAGCATCATTATTTCACCACACCGAGACCCATCCAGCAGAAAGGGAAGATTTGGGGAGAGCGACCCAAACTCGGCTCACTGCATACCCCTGGCGCTAACCTGCAGCTCTCCTCTTCTGCAGTGGCAGCCTCCTACCAAAGGCAGAATTTCACCCTCTTTTGTGTTTTCTAAATAACTTGCTTCCTAAAAAATGCAGGCTAATGTGGCCACCTGAAGATAATTTAAAACTTCACCCACCCTCCCTGCAACACACACAGTCGTCCCCGCTGAGTTAACAGCGCAGATACGATTTCAGCCTGGAAATCACAGCTTAATTATATTTTTGGGTGGGTGGGAGGAATTTGATGGCAGATTTCATTTAGGAAACAATCAGGTCTCGGATGGGTTAGAAATCAGGATATTAATGTTCTTCGTTTTAATTTTCCTCCCTGACTCAGATTCCCACTGTTTGAATTTGAGCTCAATTTGTTCTGTTCATTATGAAGAAATCCACATGAATTTGACATTAAACTGATTATCTCTGAAAACAGTAGCAATAAGTTCCCTTTTTCCTGTGTACGTTTCAGATTAAGTCTTTGTGGTTGATATAAAAAACGCAGGGGAGAAATAATGAAGCAAAGGCAAATCAAGTATTTATTCTGGAGTGCTACTTAGAAGTGGAGGCATGCAGGGACACCTCCCACCAGCCCAGGCTGCTCCAAGCCCTGTCCAACCTGGCCTTGGGCACTGCCAGGGAGGAGGCATCTGCAACTTCCCAGGGCAACCTGTGCCAGTGTCTCACCATAATCATGGTGAAGAATTTCTATTTAAGACTCACCATCCTGCTGTAAAGAGCTGCCAGAGGTCCTGGGGGCCAATCCTGCACCAGCTTCCAGGGTCCTGATGGCATTGATAAGTCTTAGTGGCTGTGATGAGACCCATCAGGGACTCTCATCCCTTGCTCAGCCCTGGGCACCCAGTCCTTGCCTTCTGTCTGTCTCCTGGCTGGATCTCAGACCTGGGTTGTAGCTTGGTTTCCAGCCCTGTCTCTGCCTCCATCTCCCCCAGCATCTCCTGGTCTCCCACCAGAGGACCTCTATAAATGAGGATAGTGGGGATGATGCCTTGCGGGTGAGGGGACATAAAGCATATATGCATATAGCCAAAAGACAAGAAGTGCACAAACTCCTGTTTGTATAGCAAGACTGTTATTGGAATAAACTATTCAACCTGCTGTCTAGTTTGTAAGGCAAGATGCAGAGCATTACAGCGGGAGTACAGCACTTGACCCAACACAACAGACTTCTGGAGTGATATCTATTTTTAAAGAAACATGGTGGCTTTACTCCTAGCTCAGTTATTTCCCCAAAGAGAGAAAATCCATTAAGATACAGTAAACATTTGCCACAAATGAAGATATAGTTCCCCTTATCTGCTAACATGACTGGATTTACATAGCTCCATCACTGCATTTTGCCATCACAAGCACTACCTCATACCAGTGACAAACTCTTCTTTGTCTCTGCTGCTCTGGAGCCTCACCAAAACAAGGAACACTCCTTTCTTTAACAGGTAACTTCCATTTTTCCAAAGTAGCAAGTTTTAGCAAACAGTCCATCCTATGTGCACCCCTTTTGGTCCAGTTTTTCAGTATTTCATGCTCATGCCTCTAACCACTTAAACCTCTCAAATGCCCTATGGTCAAAGAGGGACTTATATTTTTCCACTCATGACACTTGGTTCAACTTTAACACCACTGCAAATTTTCAGCAGTGGGAAAAACAATGTAAGGCACAGGGCGGATGTGAAATAGATGGCAGAAACATCCAGCCAGACCCACTGTGGGAAAAATGGGGCAAGGTTGTGGAGTCGAAACATCAGGAGCAGGAATTGGCCTGGATCCTGAAACAGAGTATGTGACCATGGGGTGGACTGGCTTTGGGGTTGTGCCTGAAATTCCTGGTACGATAAAGGAGAATAAAGAAAAATTTATGGCCAATTACTTTTGGGTAAGGGGTGTAGATAAAAGAGATACTGGAGCTGAAAAAAAGCCATAAGCAACATGGTGTCTACTAAGTCAGAAAAAGACATATTTACATGGCTAAAGGAGGAACACATTAAGACAGGCACCGTATTCCAGATGGATGCCCAGGAGGATCATGGAGGAAAAAGAGGGGATGGGATGGTATAGGAGATGCTGGTATACGGACAGCAAGAGCAGTCTTGCCTAGGATGTTATCAGGTGGCAGAGGACTGTGAGTGCTGTGAACGTGAACAAGGAAAAAAAGGCTTAAGTGAGAAAGGAGCCCAGCTGGGGGATGGCTCCATGGCTTTCTGCTTCCACAATAGAAACACGAAAACTGAGTGACAGCCGAGGACATGAAGAAGTGGAGTCAGGCCAGGACCTGGAGCATGGGGAGATTCTGTGGAGAAAGGATCATTTGCTCCCTGGTTTAGAAAGGGGGCTGCTGCCTGAAGGCTCTGGGAAAAATAGCAGCACACAAAGAATGTTTAATCTGGGACACTTTCATGTAAAAGATGTCCAGGCTGGTAAGAGGCTGAAAAAGAAAGACTTCTGAACTGGACCAACCTTGGCCAGGGAAAGCTCCTAATCATACGGCTCAAGGCTTGTTCTTGACTCCTCTGAGCTTTTAGTGCACACATGTAAATAATATATTAATGAAACAGCTCTTTTAAGACTCGGCATATATTAAAATATTAAGAGGAAGACAAGAGCTGTGAAAACTGCATTGACCCACTGGTCTGTTCTGGCTGCAGCTCTCTCCAGAGAGGCTGAAGCAACAATCTAATGCTTTAGGCCAAGTCTTAAGACCACAAACATTTATTTGCAGCTGGAATAAACAGGATAAAGTGTGAAGTGTCAGGGGCCCCACGCAGTTGGGATTCCTGTTGATGTCAGATGTATTTTCCTAGCAGAACTGACCACCTGCTGCTCTGGAGATGTTAACTTCCAAAGAAATGCTTTAACCTCTATTTTGCAGATCCTTCTGCCTACTGGAAAAGAAAAAAAAAACCACAACAGCAAATATTGTGCCTACCTGCATGAAAAAGAGGGAGGATGCCCCTGTACAATAGCACAATTTATTCAAGCCACTTAGGTGTCCCAGTTGAAAGGCTGCCCTTCCTAGATAGTTACCAGGTTGTTTCTGTAGCCAGTGGAGAGATTCAGACCCTTTGGGTGATTCATCTCACCCAATGATACACAAGGAAAATAGCTGGATGAAATCCACCTTGAAGATGCCTCCCCTGGCAGTTCATTTCCCAACTGACCTTTAAATAACGGGTGCACCTGGTAACAGGCTCTTGCCACCCTGGGATGAAGATTGCCTGCTTGAAACCTCTTCACCGCTTTCCCAATTTACAGCCATATTCTCCTTCTTTGCACGAGAAAAAGAAAAAGCCTAAACTGGAAAAGGAGAGACACTTTTCTTCTGTCGAGGAGCCCAAAAGATCCTGATGCTAAAGCATTGTAGTCTCGGCTGCATGAGAGAACAAGTCAACCTCTGCACTAACTCAAGGCGTGAATGTTTCATGCATAACACATTGGTTTGCCACCAAGATGGAGTGATGGATGGCCAAGGGGAAGAGTAGTCCTTGCTGTAACCCTTGTGCAACAACTGACTCCCCTCTAAAGCAGCCCTGGAGAAGCCTGGCTATACCTCTCCATTCTTTGATGTAAAGACAGAGAGAGAAGTAAGGGTAACACGTGGATAAATCAGGCATTTGCAGTAATGGCATCTTATAGCCATCTTTATCAAAAAAGCTTCAGTGCAAAGGGAAAATATCTTGGACCAAAAACCATCAGTGTAGGTCGAGGGAGGAAAGTGCATCTCTGTGTTAGCAACACCGCTTTCCCCTTTGCACTGATTTTGGGGATATATATCTATAATATTCAGAGAACTGAATCGCATATCCCTAGCTCCCCAGCACTCAGTAGTCAATATTACTAACAGCACGGTTCAAATCCTTCAAGCCTGTCCTCAGGCAAAACTCACCCCGAAATCAGTGGGAATTCTGGGTGAATAAAGACCAAATAAGAACCAAAGTCCCAACTCAATTTTCAGTTGAGCTTTGCAGTCCAACTGTTAGGAATGGAAATACTTCGGATTTTCACCGTCACGAGAGTCCAGCTGGGCCCAGTAATCCCAAGTCCACCCCCTCTTGATTCCAGCATCAGCTGGGCAGATACACAGAACAGAACTTGGCATCTGGCTGCTCTAGGCTAAGTCATAAGTAATTGCACTGGAGGAGAAAGAAACCAATCTCTGAGGCTCTTTTTCTGGTATTCCCTTACTGTCATTCCCCCATAACTTCCTGAAAAAGACTTTTTTTAAAAAAAAAGCTGTTCAATTTTCCTCCTGTGCCAGGCACCACATTTTGTTTGGCATATCCGTCTCCGATAGCCTTTCCTCCGCAGATGCCTGTAAAGTTCACATCAGTCAGTTCTTCAGACTACGTGTACTAACATTAACGGAGACGATTTCGTTCCAAGCACACAGTGTTTCTTACATCCGTGCTCTGCTGTTCATTTCTGCTGCCGTAAAGATGACAGCACCACTACATACCCAGGACAGGCAGGACTCTTGTGATGCTCAACTCAGGCTATATGGTGCCATAACGGCCCCTTTTCACCCTCAGCAGTGAGGGCTTGGCACCTCAGCAGCTCCTGGCACTAGCAGTTTGCTGGTGGAACGGGGACATTTCTTTTCAACTACATTTTATATATATATATGTTTTTTGCTTTTCCTAACTCCCTTCCAGCAATGACAATTTTTGGAAATACATGGGTAAAAATAATAAAAAAAAGAAAAGAACAAATGAAAAAGGCATCAACCACCGCAAAATCTCCTCCCAGTTACTGCTGGAACATTTCTGCTGTGGGAGACTAGGGTCAAGTGCTGGTCAGGGTGGGGAGAACACATTTTAGACTCCTTAAAGCCATCACGAGTGTTAAGAGATACGAAAAATAGTTTATAATTACCTCTGTTGAGTGAAGCTGAACTGTTTATATCTCCAGTAATAAAGGAAGACTCGGACTGCTTTCGAACTGTGTCATTCCACATCCTACGAATCCGGCTCTGAAGAGGGATTGAACCACAGCAGGTAATGAATTTTTAGCAGCTGCAGATAGGTTTCTTCCTGCCTCACTAAAGATGGCTATTGGCATGTCTGGCTCAGGATGAGACTTGTTTCTAGCCAGCTGTACACAAGCCATTGCCGTTTCGCTATAATCTGCCTTGTGCATACCATGCCTTCCTAACACAAGTGCCTATCTCACATAAGAAGTGCGTAATAGGATTGCTGACATCTTAATTAAAAACAGCGGTGGAAATCACATAGGAGAGAAACGCAGACCCGTGCAAGCTACGCTTTTACCAATATGGCACCAAATAAAGGAAAGAGAACTTAGGCACAGAAGCGCGCACGCTTGCTGTATCAACTGGGATAGTTTGTGTCTGGTTTTTGTGAAGTCTAATGGAGCTATGTCTTGGTGGCCCTGAATGAATGGGTTTTCTACAGCTACTATCCATCTAGGGGAATATCAGTGAAGAAAAAAAACCCCAACAAATGAATGACTTCTCTTCCCCTACTGAAAAATCTGTGATGGTTTTGCTATCTCTGCTATAGTTTCTGCTGCTGAGGAAACAGTGTCATGAATGTGTTGGCCTTCTGTTTTGTTTCTCAGATATGCTGTGGAGTGTCTACCTCCATGGCTTTTACAGCACTGTCTCACTCCTCCTCTCCCAGACCTTGACAAAGATCAAAAAAATCAGCCACATGCATACTGCGAGGGGTTCAATCACAGTCCCCATGCCAAGATGCCTGGGGAACCCAGGCGTCCAAGGGGAACTCTCTTTCACCTCATCTCTCAGAGACATGGATGTGTCCCACGGCTGTGTGAAAGTGGTGCTATGTGGTCTGGTGGATAGAGAAGGCTGGTTGCCCCTGTGACAGACCAAGCTTTTCGTAATTGCTAAAAATCCAGTGCTTCCCAGAGTAGGATCTTAGCCAGGTGAGATCTTCCAGGGCTCACTCATGTGGGCACAGCTGGAAAGTGCCTCCCATTAACTACATATCAGTGGGATCTCCTAATTATGAATTTGCCCTCTATAAATGGAAGTGCAATGTGACCGTGCACTTTTACAGCCATTATTTTTCACCTGCACTTTTAACCTATTGTATTTCTCTGACATGATCCATTGTGGATTCATTGTTCTGTTTCCTAAGTGCTTTTCAGGGAAAATAAAAAGGATCTTATGAGTTTTCCTTCTCATGGACTTTTCTATTTCAAAGTTAAGGATCAGATGCTTTTGAGTACTCAGGTGGACAACTCCATCCACTCTCCATCACCCGTGTGAGGCTTCTCCTGCCTACAATAGGTCTCAGGCACTTCCATCCTTCCAACGACAAGCTTCTGTGAGCAAAATAATGTGCCTTAGCACCTCAAACCTTACCTGCCATGAGGGAGGGCCCATTAAAGTCATCTCTTCTCAGAGAGAAGGGCACCTACCCAGGAGCTAAGTTATGTAAAACCAAAGGCTTTCACATGTGCTTGATACAATGAGTTTAGGCCACTGTTGATTACCATGGGATTTGATGGCCTGCTGGAGAGAACCTCCATAATCTATTGCTGTCATTTGCCCTGCATAACATCCAGACCTATGTAAATGCCAAAGCGGAGCTCTTGGATGACATCTTGGAAACCGTGGAAAATAAATAATAATTTCCTCCAAGACATAAATCGCAAATTAGGTTTTCCTGGGAGGTTACAAACTGCTACTCGCTGCATGTCTTTCATAATTTAATAGTGGAACTGCCACGTATAATTACTTCCATTAGTAATACTGAATAAATTTGTGTTTGGTTTCTATTGATTAAGAAGTAAGCTTCTTCATTTCATATGAACTCTTCGTCCATAAATCTGCACCCGTATGCACAAGTTAGCTTTGAAAGTGCTAAGTGCGCAAACTCCACAAAACCTGAATTTTTAGGTGACCACAGCATCACAAACCCAGTAATTTAATAAGATAATCTGACCCCAATGGATTCTCCTAAGATATCTATAAGCTAAGGCAAATCGAGTGAGGCAAGGAATTGATCAAACCACTGAAAGTCAGAAAGCAAACCCTTACAACGTAAAGGCTCTTGTGGCCCTTTTTTAGCAAGAAAAATACCTGGTTGTTATTTCTGTACATGGCAGTAGTGGTGACAACAACCTTCAACTTGCGATTAAAGGATGTACTGGGATGTATTATTGCTGATAAAACATTCCCAGATGCTGATCCCCACGGGGAGCAGGCAGGACAGCTCAGGTTATGAGCACCCACCTGCCTCGGGCAGGCAAATTTGGACTTTTTGTTCCAAGCGCGGGTTACCTGCGAGCCCGTGGAATATCTGCCAGGCGTCCGCGACCCCGAGGTTTTTCCTGAGCCGATGGAGCTCTCTGTACTTTTGCCACTACAGCAATGCGTGCGCAGGCATTTTCCATACTCTTTACGTACCTAGGCGAGGAAAAGGCAACAACATTTACTGGGTGGCTCCTCCTCCAACTCACCGCCTTCCCATTTTTCCTCGGTGGTTCATTAAAACCGCAGCTGTCCCAGCACGGGGGGAAGAAGCCCATTACACCTTGCAGCTGAACACTCTCGACGCGTGAGCTCGCCGTTTACGGCGGCGTCAGGGACTTGCTTTTTATGCAGCAAAGCTGCTCCTTGGCACCACTCAGTTGCAGCTTCCTCTGAGGCACATCAAAGGAGCATGGGAGAAACTACAGATACACTATTTATGGCTGAAAATTAATATCCTCATAGATTTGATATAAACTAACGTATTGGCTCATCAAGGTATTAAAAGTTATTGCTGCTGGCAGGGGACTCGGAAGAGAAATTCCAAAAGAAACATATAAAAGCTATTGATTTTTGGTTTTTTCAATTATTTCTTGCAGTCAAATTGAAACCGTGGAGCCAGCAGCCCTAGAGATTATATTCCCAGTGCACAGGGGTGGCTGGAGCCTATTTTCCAGCAGCCCTGCACAAACCAGTCATGTTTTAAATGGGCACCGCAGTCAAACTGGGCCAGCCCCTTGCCTGGAGTAAAGCCATGCCACCTCTTTTCTCTCAGTGGAAACCATGCTGTAATGTGCCAGGGCAGGATCGAAGCTGTGACTGAGCTTCAGGCACCATTTTTATGGGCAACGTTACCCAGAAACCAGATGGGATAAGGCTGAAAATGAGCAGATTGTCCTGAAAAGCCAAAAGCAGGTCAAGTTGCCCATTGACCAAAAAAAGAAACCAACCCAAAAACCCCATACATGTCCAAAACACCAGTTGAGGCTCCTTGCAGCACATGGGTAGCTGTGAAATTTTGCCAGCCTATCTAAAAGCATTTCAAAACTCGGCGAAACAACTGTTTAAATAGCAAATTACAGCTTTTTCATTAGGCTGTTCCTTAAGCGCTTGAGACAAGCACAATACCACGAGTGCCCAATATGCTCAAGTGCCTAATCAATCCTTTGCTGAGAGAAAATAATTCAATTGCTTTAATTAGCCACCCACTGCTTGCCTCTCTGCAGCTTTTTGCTGATTTTCTAGTCCATGATAGATAGGAAAAGAAAGGTTGTTTTTTTTTCCCTCTCTCCTCTTAAATAATTCCTCCCTCAGCTCTCGGGTCAGAGAGGTGCATCTCCCCACAGCAAGGTACCGGCTGCCTTCTCCTTCCCTCCATGCAGCCATAAATCAGGAGCAATCCCACAGTCACCAGTGCTAGTTTAATGGTGTAGACTGGTTTGAGACAGTGAATAAAATGGTTTTTCTGTGCTGAGTGAGCAGCTCGATAGCCAAGGAGGCTGTGGCGCCGGGTTAGGGACTGACGCTTTGGTGGTCACCTTTGGAGGTGGATTGGAGGCAAGAGGATGGTGCAGAAATTCAAGCTCCTCATCAAAGGAGCAGCAGCAGGTTTAATTAGCACCGGTGATGCTTCCTACATTCTTACTAGCATCTTCTCTGGTTGCTGAAAGTTTTGGGATGATCAGCAGGCAGTTGCATCTTAAGCTTTTTCAGATGCACAAATTGGAGATGAAATGACAAGGACAAAACTCTGAAGCCCAAAAGTCTTCCTTTGGTTTCAGGAATGATGTTTTTGCTCAGCTCTGCGGATCCTTCCAGAAACATTGCTCACAGAGCCATGAATTTGCTACGATGAATTTTGCTTATGTTCTCATAGGCCAGATCTCCCTTCCCTCTATAGGAAAATGTGGATAACATAGGAGCAAGCCCCAGGCTCTTGGATAACGAACAGACCTCAACACAGCCCTGACTTTACCCAGTAAGCCATCTCACCAAAAGCCACTGGTTCCACTGAGAAACTGGGACCCAACTTATATTGGAGAAAGAAACTGCCCTTTGAAACCAAGACATACATCAAAAATTATTGGCAGGCATGCACAGACTTGGAGAGCTCTGCACTGCTGAATTTCAGTGGGGAATAAAATGGTTCTTAAAAATGTTTATTACTGGTTGTCAGGGGCCGTATGTTTGATCTACATACATGCACAAAGATTTTTATTTTGATTTTTATTTTGTTTCCTAGAGTTCACCTAAGTTACTCTGCTGTTCCCTCGCAAACATTAATTGGGACATACTTCAAGTTCCACCACGAAGCACCTACTGTGCTGCTTCGAGGGAGATTTCCACAGTGAGATCAAGCAATACACCAGCTGATGAACTGTTGCAGAGCATGGGGTCCTTCAATTCTCAAAAAAGCAGGGGAAGCAGCCCCTGTCTCATAGCATCAACCCATACGTGCTGCTATAGGAAGGGGTGATGTTCTGCAGGGACTGAAAACGAGGACCTAAGGCCCTATTTAATGGCTGATGTTACGCCGCAGTTGTTAGGCAACAAAACACCCCGTTAACGCCGCGTTTGCCGCTGGGAACAGTCTGTCTTACCTTTTTCTGGAGGACACAATGGAAAATGAATATAAACATTCCCTGCAGAGAATTGAATATGGTGAAGAGATACGCCATGATGACTGTGCTTTCATTAATATACATGAGTCCAAACGCCCAGGTCAATCCTAATAGGCAGAGTAGGGCTATTGCACCTATAACCCAGGACCTGTTAGGAGAAACAAAAAGGAAAACAAAAAAAAAAACAAAAAGAAGAAGAAAGAAAGGGATTGGTTTTTTCACCTAAAAAAATAAGGCACACACGTCTACAAGCAGGGAAGGTTTTAGCAAAAAAAAAAGAAAATAGCATCTCAAAATGAGTCGCAGGGATTTTTGTCTTCAAGTTGGATTACAAAGCAGGTTACAAATCTTCAAGCTTGAAGAAGTAAACAGAAATGGAAACGTTATGAGCGTGGAAGTTTATCATAACCAAAGCATATTTGTAACCACGTTTCTTTTCTTTTTCCTTTCTCGCATGTAAAAGCAGCGTGTATGCAAATGACATGTAGATGCTATTTCTGCAAATGGCAGGCAAAGAAAATAAACCAACCAAAACAACCACTCGAAATGTCACTTTTTTTAAGTGCCCGCTGGATTCGCTGGGGCAGCAGTGCCAGCTGGATTAGCTTCTTCACACTTAACACCAAGACACATTTATTGCTGCATTTTAGCTCGTCTCCCATCTGCCCGTGAGCCAGATAAACAACTACAAGCAGGTGGGCAAGCCCTCCCCGCTTGCCAGATCGGCTCCGCACAAGGAAGCTCTCTGCGACGTTCCTTCACGCTCCTTCCACCCTGCGGCAAGGGGAAATACATTTATACACACGTACAAGTGCTCACACACCACATCTGCCCAAACAGCAGCTGCTTGGAGAAAAGGGGGACAAGCCTTCTTCACATGGGCTGCAAAACTAAGATTATCGAGGGCATTCATTTATACACACGTACAAGTGCTCACACACCACATCTGCCCAAACAGCAGCTGCTTGGAGAAAAGGGGGGCAACTCTTCATTCACATGGGCTGCAAAACTAAGATTATTGAGGGCATTGGGAGCAGGGTTTCTGCTTGCTTTCTCCTCACCACCTTCTGCAGGGACAGAGCTGGGGACATGGGATGGCTCTTATAGGTTACTTTTTTGCAGTTTGCTTTTAGGAAAGCTAGAAGCCCTGCTGGGATGGCAAGAGAAGCATTTCATGCTACTCTGTAACATATAGGGTATAACAAATAACATCCAGTCATCTGCTGAATTTGCTTCTTGGAGGCAGATCTTCCAACAGCAGGATGTGAGATGAAGCCTGACAAACAGGATAGGAACAGAGGGGAAACTGGGTCCTGGTCCAAGCCTTCCCTCCCAATTTCCACATGCTAAGCTACCTACAACTGGAAAGGAACTGCTGATGTGCAGGGGAGGGAGTCAGCTTCCAGCTGGGAGGTGCAGTGGGAAGCCCATCACAAGCAGCGCTGTGAGTATCCCTCTGCTCTTTCTCTTGAGAGCTCCATTTCCTTCTGTCTTCCCTTGACACCATGAGGTGTAACATCATAAGAACAGATATGATGATACCTATGGCTCAGCCCCAAATCTCTGCACCCTTTCCTCATTGTTTAACCCTTCGGTGCCCCAAAGCGGATCACCCTGCAGCCAGCCTGTGCCTCTGCTTCATTGCCCACTCCAAAGCAGCCTGGGGGGCCTACAAAAAGGCTCATGGGGACCAGCTCCTCCAAGGACCTCCCTATGTTTCTAAGCCACTTCAGCCTTGTAGAAACTTGGCCAGGGTTTGGGCATAACTGGACTAAGCAGAGCATGGGACAAAGGGGAAGAAGATGAAGGAGATTTGGGGAAAAATAAGTCCAGGAATCTCCACTACGGAGACTCCACGGCGGCTGCAGCCTTGAAGCCTTTTGCTTCCAGCAGGGCTTGTCACCAGCAGAAGCACACCAGTGTTGTAGTCGTGTTTTCTGTTGTCCTCTTCTTAGGTATTAGCATGGAAATACAGCATTAAGTCTTACACTGAAGTTTATAAAATATGTATTATTTAACCACATGACCAGAAGAGCTCCCTAAGGTAACCGCTTATTTAGGCAGTTCTTTAAAAATCACTATTATGTATCTAGCAGACCAGAACAGCTCCTTTGAAGCATTTCCAGTCAATCCTGCTAATAAATATTTAGCACGATGCAAATTGAAAAGGCACACTCGAAATCCTTCGGAAAGGTAGCCACTAGATAAAGTTTACAGCTTCAGCTGCTTGGTATATTTTCCTCCCTGAGACTCCACCATCAGCGAGACCACATTATCATCTTAATATCAATGGTGGCTTTTTTTTCCCTTAAAAAAAAGAACAACAAATGAAGCAGAAAACACCTTTTTTTTCCCCCTTCCTCCTCCTTCTCCACGATTAAAAGGCTCCTGTGTTTCCAGAGTCTTTTAAAGGTGATTCACAGGGTATCAGAAAACTCTCCTGCTCTGAAGCACAGCCAATTCTTGGACCTGATTAAAGCACCCTTGGCTGCAGAGGTGTGCAGGAGCAAAACAGTTATTTAGTGGAAATAGGCT